TTTTTTTTTTTTTGAAACTGGTCTGAAGGGGAAAATTGTACTTCTTTTATCCTTTTTCCTAGTCTCACCTGTGTTGTCCCTGAACCAAAGGACTAAAATGAGGACAAATTGAGAAGCCAGGCCTTCTTGCATGAGCGGTGGTGCATAATGAGAGGGTTTGCAGCGAGTCCGTCATCGTGAATGATTAAAGAGGAACTGGGCAACTACAGTGTGATTTGTCCAAGTAGAACATTTTACTTAGAGATTCATGCAGGTAGAACCAGGCTTGGAACAGATGACTATCCAGGAAAACATTTTCTGCCCGTACCAGCTTTGGGAGCACTCGTGAATCTGGGGGTGCAGTATCAGTCCAATGAGGTCACAGTGCCATGATGTTAGAGCTGTGGGGCCTCACAAATTTCCAGCGAGTGCAGTGCTGGGAATTTGTGGCTCTGTTCATATATTTTTCATCTGCACTTAAAGTGCAGGAATTGTGCAATATATCATCACCATTCTACACAGTAGTTTTGCAACACACGTCACACGTCACACTCCTAACTGCCAAACTCACATAAACATGCATTTGAGGGAGGCTTCCTAGTTTTTGTGAGCTCTTCAGCACAGCCTTGCAAATAACTGAGGCCAAAGACGTGTCACATGGCATTGTGGGCTAGTAGTCAAGGATATCTGCTGATGCTTGGTCTCAAAGTTTCTGGTTTCATCTCTCTGCAGGGTTATTTTTTATCAGACTGCTTTCATCTCTCTCTCTTAAGCCTCCCCATTGACGCAAATTCTTGTGTCACATGGCATTGTGGGCTAGTAGTCAAGGATATCTGCTGATGCTTGGTCTCAAAGTTTCTGGTTTCATCTCTCTGCAGTGTTATTTTTTATCAGACTGCTTTCATCTCTCTCTCTTAAGCCTCCCCATTGACGCAAATTCTATAATGAAATTTTATAGCATTTTTAGAAAACAAAAAGCTAAAGAAAAACCAGTAACATTACAAAACATAATCTGGCAGTCTTACAAACCACTTCGGTATTAGCAGATACATTTTCAGTGTGCTGCAGAGATTGTGAGGACTTCACCATGCAATCTGTACAGTTTGCATTGCTGAAATCCAAGTGGACCGATGACAGAACTTTTCCCCCCAAATTTCCTTCCCCACTAAACTTCCTTAATTAAGTCATTGATGCTAGCTTGCTGGTAAAGACCAATTCTTACAACAAGTGTATCCAATTTCCTGCTAGCGGTAACTTTAATTCTTCCTGGAATAGCAGGAAACATTAATTTTGCATTGGACCCAGGAGTCTCAGGAAACTGGAATCATAGGTGCCATTGTCCCACCCTTTATTCATCCAAAATAAAATAAAATGAGCAGCAGCCCAACAGTGAGGCTTGAAGGATGCGTAGTGACAGAGTAGAGAAAAGGCATTAATTTCAGGGTAGGGACAACTGCCCGGCACTATCTCCCTTTGGATTTTGCTTCTTATAGCATCACGGTGAGTTATTAATATGTATGATCTGTACTTTATTCAAACATTATAAATCTATGCAGAAGTCTGGTGTTTGGGTTTTCCTTTATAGCTTTCATTCTTCTTCCCAGAACTATCTCATTTTGATCGGGAAACTTTTGCATAAAAAGCACACACCGAGAACTCTCATTTCCATACCATAAATATTAAAAGGGGGTTAAGCTTTACAGTTTCTTGTCCCATCCCAATGGGAGGAAAGTTAGCTTTCTAATCAGGGGGCTCTTAATAATGTTCTTTTTATTCACAAGCCAAAAGGTAAACTTAAAATTAGACTTGCAATATGAAATTGTACTATGTGATTCCTTTCATTTATGTAAATTGTGGAGGGCTTGGCTATGCCACAGCTCTAGTATCAAGGATATACTAAAAATCTAGCAGTTATCTGAGTTGTTGAGAATAGGTGGTTGGTTTATTTTTTGAGGACCAAACCAAGTTCAGACCTTCTCTTAAGGATCGTGATTAAAATGCTTTTTACTAGATAATTATAATGTGTGGATTCGTCACTATGTGGATTTATCACAGTGAATCTGTAGCATACAGCAGAGGGAAGCAGACCTAGAACACTTAATGTCTTCTTAGTAGCTTTTTTAACTTCTTAAGAGCTTCCTATCTCCTGCTTATTGCCATTTTTGTTAGCATGAGAGAACAGTCATAAATTTTGGTTCGTATGGAAATATAAAGGAATGTGTGAGCGATTTCATTTGGGTGAGCTGTCTGCTAATCACGCAGTGTCAGCTGTTGTACTTTGTGATGGGAAATGAACGTGCTAATTGGTGCTCTTTTTTCTTATTTCAGGGAACCTGCCATATGAATATAAAATAGTGATTGCTGGGAATCATGAACTGACATTTGATAAGGAATTCATGGCAGACCTTGTTAAACAGGACTACTACCGTTTCCCCTCTGTGTCCAAATTGAAACCAGAGGACTTTGACAATGTTCAGTCCCTCCTGACAAACAGTATATACTTACAAGATTCGGAGGTAACAGTGAAGGGATTCAGGATATACGGTGCACCTTGGTAAGTGTTAATTCAGTTTTCTCCTCCGTTTTTCAGTTCAGCACCAAGAAAGCATGGCTCGGACTTAGATGCTTTAAATAAAAATGATTAGGAGGAAGGAAACATTGCCATATTTCCAGCAAAACACATACTCTGGTACTGCTGCAAAACACAGTGCTTCTTGTTTTCATTGTGATACACAAATTTCTTTAGGCAAGATCAGTGGGAGTAGGGCTTTGGTAGATATGTATGTCTTTATGTCACTGGAGCTGCATGTATGTGTGTGACACAGAGGGATTTGGGAGAAGGTCACCACAATACCCTTCACACAGACTCGGATACCCTGAACATTCCATCCGCCTTAGGTAGCTCATTTCCCTCTCATTTTATAATGGAAGCAGTCGTGAAATATCTTACTTAGATTAGGGTTTCTCAAATGTCTCTACACATCAGAATGACCAACTCTGAAGAAATACAGATTTTGAAGCCCTACCCCTACAGACCCTGATCCTCCTTCCTAAGATGAAGCCCCCCAATCTTTATTCTTTAAAGCCCCTCCAGGCGGGGCAGATGCACAGGCAGTTTGGAAGTTATTGGCTGAGAACTCAGTACTAGAATTCTCAGAACTAAGCTCTAGAAAACTTGAAGCAAGCACATATCCGTTGGGGCTAGACAGGGAGCATTTGGATCTTGGCTGTATCAATTGTCAATCACCAGGTTTTACAATTTTTTTTCCATTTCTATGATGGTGAAAATAATGCCCATGTTAGAGGGTTATTATGACGATTAAATGGTGAAATTTGCAATGGACTTAGGAGAGTGCCTAGTTAGTTTGCTTAGGAAAATAATGAACGTTTTTCTGGCCTCAGCTCTGCCACTAAATATCTTTATGAACTTGGGCAAGTCACTTAGCCCCTACATTTCTATGATGGTGAAAATAATGCCCATGTTAGAGGGTTATTATGAGGATTAAATGGTGAAATTTGCAATGGACTTAGGAGAGTGCCTAGTTAGTTTGCTTAGGAAAATAATGAACATTTTTCTGGCCTCAGCTCTGCCACTAAATATCTTTATGAACTTGGGCAAGTCACTTAGCCCCTGGAGCTAGTTTTGTCATCTTTCAAATGGGAGTGTTAGACCAGATGATCATCAATATCAGAAGTTTCTAGGATTTTTCTTTCTTTTATTTGTTCTCTGTATATAGAAAGCAGAACTAAGCTTTATCCACTCAATCTGGAGAAATTCCCCAGTCCTTCCCAAGGAGTTGTAGATAGGACTGGAGAGGACAGAGGTATTCAGATAGGCTACTCCAATCAACAGTTTGGTTTGTCCTCTGTACAATAGAAAGTTGAAATTTTTCTTTTCTTTTTTTTTTTTTTTTATAGCTTTACTAGTCGATATCCAGAAGGACTGATGAGTAGGTATAGGAAGTAGATATCTGTTTAAAATCACCCTTACAATAATTGTGAGCTCTTAAGTACTTACAATATGCTAAAAACTGTTCTATGTCCATTATATCTGTTATCTCATTTAATCCTCAAAATAACTTTGGGAGATGGGCACTATTATGATTCTCATTTGGCAGATTAGAAAACTCAGGCACAGAAAGGATAGGGAAGTGCTCAAGAATCACTGCAGATAGTAAGTGGTAGCATTCACATACTAGAGATGAACCCAGCAATCTGACTCCAGGGTATACAGTATGACTGAGGGGTGGTGGTGGTATAGGAATTGGTGGTTATAATCTGAACATCCAGTTTATATCCAGCTTTATTATGTACATCAATTAATTTTTTCATGTGTGAGAAGGTAAAGGCAAAGAGAATAAACAGCAGAAATTAGTTCTGTCAAATTGTAACCTGAAAACTAACCTCAGGGTGATGTAGGATGTTGATATGAGCATTTCTGGGTTAAGGGCAGGAGAGGAAGGGCATTTGCACCTCCAGGGGCCAGCTCTTAATGACACTGCAGCAGTTAAGGAATGACTCTGATTGGCAGAGAAGCTCTACATGCAAGTTAAGATCATTTTTTCAATAACTTAAGGTGATTTGTGAAAAATCTTCAAAAGGCATAGAACACTTAAGGCTATTCCTGAACTAGCAGGGCTTTCAGTGATCCCTGGATTGATAGTTGCTGAAATGATGACAGCAGCAGACTTCCTCCATTATCTGAGCTGATTCAAATCTGTTCAGGATAGGGTTTAGATTACAACTGGGAGGAATGAAGGAATGATTTCTAGGTCTTGAGAAAGATCTTGCAACGTCTCAAGAAATTTTTAAAAAACAGTAATTCAAATAGAGTATGTGCTGTGATGAGGTATCATCCAGTTTTGGTGGTGGTGTAAACTGCAAACAAAGTTTATATCTGAACTGGATGGATATTATTTGTTTTTTTAAATTTTAATATTGTAAAGGGTGGTAAAGTCAAGAAAATAGTCAGCATTAATTAGTCTTCTGAAATGTTATCTTGAAGTTGTTTTTACACATAATGTGTGTTGGGATTTCCATAAAGCTCAAATGATTTATCAGGCACCTCTTTACATTGAAGATGTTTAGATGGGATTTGCCCCATCTATTGGAATCATTAGTACTTTGTGTTTTGACCAGTAATTCAGAGGTTGACAAAAGGTTTACAATATCTTCATCACATATTTTTCATCATATATTTTTCATCATTTTCATCATATATTTTTGGATGTACCAAGTAATTTAGATCTCACTGTGATAGCACAGGGAAAAGCTACTTCAAGACCAGGGAGGGTCTGGCCCAGTGGCGCACTGGAGAGTGCGTCACTTGGGAGCGTGGAGGCGCTCCTGCCGAGGGTTCGGATCCCATGTGGAGACCAGTTCCCGCTCACTGGCTGAGCGCGGAGCGGATGCAACACCGAGGGTTGCGATCCCGTTGCCGGTCCCCAGTACGGGCACGACACCGAGGGTTGTGATCACGTTACCGGTCAGTAAAAAAGACAAAAAAGAAAAAAAAAAAAAAGACCAGGGAGAATTAAAGTAGTATTTTCTAATTTACAGTGTAACAGGAATCTATATGTAGAAAACTTGTAACACACCACAGCATTCATATGTGTTTGCAAGTGGAATATGCTGTGGTACTTATTAGATCCCCAAGGAAAAGGATGTGAATGGGCTTTGATGGGTCTGAGAAAATTCATTGGCCTAAATAGAAGAAGTTGTAAGTGGGGTGCCATGTCCAGGAAGGACAGTGACTCCTTGGGAGGAGGACAAGTGTTGATGAGTTCCCCAAGGGACCCCTGCCTCAGGAGACTTTAAGGCAGGTTTTGTGGCTTCTGTCTATATTTCTTCACCATCTCATTCTTCCAAGCATCTTGAAGAAAGGAATCAAGCATCTTCTTTTAATAGTTCAGTTGTGGATGTACTTCATTTCTCCTACTGCCAGTTTTTCCTCTCTTTTTTGGAGGGCGAAGAAGAGGATCTTGCATTGTTGTGCGGTTAGGCCGGCCTAACTGGGGAAGCTCATGGGTTTTTCATATTCCTAGTGTCGATTCTCTGCCATCAACATGGTTCCCGATTTTCTATTTGTGATGCACTCTCAGCTCTGTAACGTCTTTTCCAAAGGCTGAGTATGGTTAGAAAGAGAAGACAAAATTCCAATCTGTTACATACTAACCACTATGATAACCAATTGCTTGCTACCTGGCCAGGGTACAGGAGAGGTAGAATTTGGAAATCATCTTTGTATTTTTGGTTACTGAATCTATAGCCAGCATTTTAGTGCAAGCAGGTTTTGGTAAACTCAGTCATGGGCCTTGGCAGTTAAAGATCAACTAGCCTCTTCTTTTTCTGATTTCAGTTATTCTTTTGATACTAAAATGCTGTGCCCCAAAAAATCCACATACTAATTGATCAGCAGCCAAGCTGCAAAAAGTAGTAAGTCCCTATTGCACTGACTGGAGCAGAGCAATTGTATGGTTCAGCCACAGCCTGCACCTTGTTCTCCTCTTGAACAGAAACACAGAGCTGGTCTCCAGTGGCTTCTAATGAATATGAGTGGGGCTTTCTGATGTCCAGGAATTTGATCTCTAGGTTGACCAAGGGGTCAGGAACAAAGAGCACATTTTTTTCACCTTAGAGTGGACCCAGGTGTAATTTGTCAGATTTAGTAACTGTGGAGGAAGTGCCTTAACTTCTACAGCAGGAAAATTAGATCAGGCCTAGGCAGTATAATTCTAAAATGGCTGAAATAGGAAGAGAAAGCCCATAAGATTTGCATTTTCAGAGAAAGTGTGAGCACAATTTTTTCCTCTCCTCTCTTCCCCTCATTTCGTATCACAAACATGTTGAGTTCATTCATTCATTTAGATGTAATTTTCTCAGCATTTTTCAAAGTGGGAGTTAAATGTTGATTCTGCTCTCTGCAGCATTTTAATTGTGTTTGCACACAAATAGCTACAAGGTTGTTCACGTTTCCTTGTTCTGATCAGTGCAATAGTACTTTATGTTTACCCTGTCAGAAAACCTTCAGATGTTTTTATTTCCAATTATAAGTTTTATAATGCATCATGTATTTTGCTGACAGTCTTCAAGTTCTTGAAATAGCGAATAAATTAACAGCAGATATTGAGTGAGAGGATTAGAAAACCAATTGGCAACTCATATGATAGAATTCAGATATGGGGATGAGTGGATTGGGCTCATTTATTTTATTTTCACAGTCATACTTTGTAATTAACTTGGGCAAAAAAAAGAAGAAGAAGAAAAGAGAGAAACATCTCTATGTTTAGCAGAAAAGTCCTTTGGCACTAAAGAATGAGACTATACGAACCATATTGGTTCTGTACCACTTTTTTAGGGATTCCAGCTTTTATTCAGGAGGGTTCAGAAAGGTTTTGGCACAGAAAAAGGTCTTGTGTGTGTGTGTTGAACAAATACGCACTCTGCTTTTACATGATTCTGTTTAAAGGCCCAGGCTAACATTTCATTTTTCTTGGCACGGGACCCATAGACTCTCCCATTATGAAACCTATGGCTGTTCTCCCTGGTTTAGAGTTACAGGGCTCT